CAGTGTCTCAAATGATATATTTTGTGTTTAAAAATTCATATCCACTAAAAGCATTGTAAGAATTTGCTAAAAGTACAGACATTAGTCAGGCGTTCAATAGTAGTAATAAAAATATTTTCCAAGTACATTTATTTTTGATTTTTGTCAATACTTTCAAATATTTTAGAGAGAATTTTAAGTTTATTACTAAAAGCTAAGAAAATATATCAAAAATAATGGGACAGACCGTCGACATAATCACTCCAATAGTATTGTGTTCTTCGCCTCACATTCTCGACGATTCCCTTTCCAAACGACAACCGAAATCTTGTCTTTAAATAAACATTACATAAATCCTAAGTCAGACAAACCTTATTTGAATTAATATTCATTAAAAACCTCTTTTTCTCGGAATTTCTCTAAGAAATCTTTGTTTAAAAACGCCTTTTCAGACAAATTATGTGCTCTTTTCTCAATTAATTCAATGAATTGCTGTTCATTTGTGGCATTCATGAGATTTTGTCTGAAGTTGAGGTCAGCGAAAACGGTTGCGAACGAACGGCTGAGCTCTTCGGCACTTTTTGTCGCTTTCTTTACGATACCATTCAAATGAGTGACAAATGAATCACATTTTATATATTATCTGAAAGTGTATGCGAAATATAACAGACTTTTATACCTCTTTGATGGGAACCAAGACTACAATTAAAAATCTAATAATTGTTGAATTGATGCCCAAATTTGTCGGATGTTTTAATCTCGCGATACAAACGCGCCGTTTGGACAATGAAGGCACAGAACAACTGATTGATTGAAAAAATAATTTAAAACCATATGATCAATGAAATATAAATGTATTGTTTTATGTGTGAAGTCATACTGAGTGCAGAGCCAGGACTGGTCGAACTCATAATGATCTTCAGATGACAGATATATGCCTTGAATTGTGTTTTTCAAGAGTTGGTTCCCTTCAGCAAAGAGACTCTCTTTCGCCTCATTGATGTCATTCAGGCTCTCCTCGTCTCTCAAAAGCTAAATATAGTAACAAAATCATTGATTGAATATAACAACTAATTTAACTGGAAATAGAAATACAATATAAGTGGAGGATATAAAAAATTGCTTTTATATCAAATATAATGTTAAACAAAAAAGATTGATTTTTCTCATCAAATTATTAACTAACACTAAACATTAACATTACATTAAATAATGTGTAAAATGTTAATTTATAAAAGTAAAGGTGTAGTTTATTTTAAATTATGTGCAAATATTTGCCAAATATACACAACAATTGAAATAACTTTATTGTTTTAATTCTCAGAAATTTCATTTAAAATTATAAATAAATGTTGTAATAAAATTTCTAAAAATAAAACAATTGCAAAACATTTGTGGCAATAAATTGATGTGAATCTA